AATTAGATAATTGCATGAATTGGTGATAAACAAGAAAATTTAGAGCTCACATCGTGAAGATTTTGTACTCCTGCGCTTACAGAACATGGCTTTTCATAATGATTTGAAAGAAACATGCATTTACAACCCAAACCAAACCAACCAATATATACTACTCGAGATTAGGGCCTGGGAGGGGAAGGATGTATGCACACCTTATCTTAAACCCCGCTTGTGCACAAAGAAATGTGAAGGTGTGTACAAGCAGGCAATAAGATATGTAATATTGCATTTTATTACCCACTTCACAATATTTTGAACAAACATGTAAGCAGTCGAGACTTGAGAGTAAACACTGTTTTTTCATGAGGTCCTATTTTGCTAACGATTTATTTAAGCATGTAAACTCTCTTCAACCCTAATACAAAACCAGCTTTGCCAGATAATCACCACAGTAAATTTGAACAAGATAGGTACTTCTTATTTCAAATTACCATTAATCAATGCTTCGACTGATTGTTTCAAATCAGGGCCTCCTGTAGGACGAGCAGCCGAGATTCTTCCGGAATTGCTCCGCTTCATCCAATTAATAGAATCCTCAGAGAACTCTCCATCGAGGCCAATCCGGCTCGACGGCGATCGAGTCGGAGATGCGCTGATAACGGAATCAGACGGTGTATAGCTCCCGACTTGCAAGCTATCCGCCGGCGGATGCGCATGCAATTGAGAAGCCACCGGAACAGGCATGCCAACCGCACGAGACAAGTTATCAGACGCATGGCGAGCCGGGGGTATCATGACGGGAGAAAGGGAATTGGAGACTGGAGACTGATTGCGAGTGGGGGTGGTAGCAGCCGGCCCCGACCTGGTGCGATCTGGAGGTGGACCAGGAGTGAAGAAGCCGACCTTCCTGACTTTGGGATCGATCACCCGGGACGGTCGGCGAGGCTCCATCGGCAATGATTAGTTACAACGGCGGCGGTGGCGGTGGTGAATTTTCCATAAATAAAATGTAGAATTATGATGTTGGGATGACGAATCAATGGTGGAAAGGCAAAAACGCCATTAGTAAATCGATACCGGAGGTTTTGAATCCAAGGGTTTTTGACAATTTACAGGGGCAGGGCTCTCGAATCAGATTCTCCGTCATTTTGGCATTTTGGGAAAGCTTTTCCTTTGACATGTTTTTCCAAACATTTTCTTAAATTTTAATCAATAATGATTACAGAAATATTTTTTATTAAATTTTAATTAATGAGAAATTTTGAAATTAATTATTTATGAAAGAAATAAAATTTTATTAGATTTAAAAAATATCATAGGATTAATGTCATGGGAAGGGTTCAAACGAGAACCCATGTTATCTGCGGCAACGCAATAACAACCTATTAACCTCATATTGTAATAACAACTTGAGACCCATTTTAGCGGAAAATCCCCATTCCCGTTCAAGTTGGGTGAGCCGGATTCCCTACCAGATCGGAAAAAATCACCATTCTTGATATAAAAGATTAGGTAATTTTAATAATTTCTTTTTCTTCCCCTTCTTCCCACATTTGGTAGAAAGCTTCTCATTAATTTCATTTCGTTTCTTTTCTCTCCTGTAAATTTTCAAAAACACAAGTTTTTGTTACTTCCCTCCTCTTTCCCTCGATTTCCATTTTCATTTCCTTCATAAAAAAATATTTGAAGAACTTAACGTAATAGCTAATAACATACCCAACAGATTTTATAATTCTTTAAAATAACATATATATATATATATATATATACACACACACATATATATACATATAGATGAGCGATCAAATGAAAATCAGTCACATTTGTAAAAACCGTACAAACCACTCTCATACGTCGATTTCATTGTTTAATCGTATGAATTTTTTTCATGAAATTGTTTAATCTTGTGAAATTGTTTCATATAATACTTTTTTTGATGAATTTGTTTCATATATGATTATGAAATTGTTTCATATAATATTTAATGAAATTTTAATGAAACTGTTTCACGTATTTCTCTAAAATAAAAATGATAATATCCATGATTAACACCCTCCACAATAAAAATGGTTAATCAACCTCTCATAATTACAAAAAAATGAACAAAATGAAAAATTATAATTGGTTGAATGAAATTTTCACGGTTTTTACAAATTGAATGTTTTTTATTTGA